ACCTGAGCCGAAGGCAGTCGCTTAACCAACTGAGTCACCCATGTGCCCCTGGAAAGAAGCCTTTTTTTTTTTTTTAAAAGATTTTATTTATTTATTTGGCAGAGAGAGACACAGAGAGAGAGGGAACACAAGCAGGGGGAGTGGGAGAGGGAGAAGCAAGCTTCCCGCGGAGCAGGGAGCCAGATGCGGGGCTCAATCCCAGGACCCTGGGATCATGACCTGAGCCGAAGGCAGACGCTTAACGACTGAGCCCCCCAGGTGCCCCAAGAAGCCTTTTTAAAATACAAACCTCCAAAAGAGCTCTTTTCTCAAACTATAGCACTACCTCCTTAAGATTAATCCTAGGGGCAAATACAAATCTTAAAAATCTTCTCCACAAATATTAGTAACTATAGGGTCTTCATGTGCATCTGTCTCTCTCTGTATATAGTAAATGTGAGATATTTTTCTACCTCTGGATGGCATTGCTAAAATTAATTTGTAAAAGAGTTTTATTTACTTGGTTTGAAGGCAAACATTGGTAAGGATTAGACATTCTAAAACTCTCAGAAAGAAACCAACCCAAATGTTTTGTCAAGTTCACACAATCTGGATAAATATTTGATATGAAAGCTACTTTAAGTTTGTTGGTTTAATTAAAGTAGACATATCTTAGGGTGGCACAGTCAGTTAAGCGACCAACTCTTGGTTTCAGCTCAGGTCATGATCTCAAGAGTTGTGGGATCGAGCCCCACATTGGGCTCCATGCTTGCGTGGAGTCTGCTTGAAACTCTCGCTCCCTCTCCCCCTGCTCCTCCCACTTGTGCGCACACTTTCTCTCTCTCTGTCTCTCTAAAATAAATAAATCTTTAAAGAATATTAAAGTAGACATGTCTTTAGAGTTATCAGCATTAAAATTAAAACTTTTATTCTGCCTTAGTTCACTTAAAGTCAAATAAGGTAATATCTCTGTTACAAATTAAAAAAAAAATAGCTTGGCAGGGGGCACCTGGGTGGCTCAGTCGGTTGGGCATCCGACTCTTGATCTTGGCTCACGTCATGATCTTGGTGTCGTGAGATTGAGCCCCACATCAGGCTCTCCACTCAGCGTAGAGTCTGCTCAAGATTCTCTCTCTCGCTCTCCTTCTGCCCCTCCCCTACTATCTCTCTCTCAAATAAATAAATGAAAAAAAAAATAGCTTGGAAGAATGACCGACTTTGATGTCTCATGAAGGTTTTATGGGTAATATAAGTGTAATTATTAAGAACAAGTAAATAGATATAAATAAAATAAAAAATTTAGGTAATCTTTTAAATAGTCTCCCAAATCTTTTTTGGTAACCTAAAACCGTAAAGTTTTTTTTTCTAAGTTAGGTTAAGTAATGAATTAAGTTGAATTCATTAAATATCTATATCATTTGTAAATAAGATGAAATACTAAAACATCAATTGCTAAACATAGGTTTATCTTGTGGTGCCTAGCTGGCTTAGTGTAACATGCAACTTTTGATCTCAGGGTTGTAAGTTCGAGCCCTACATTGGGTGTAGAGTTTGCTTACAAATAAAAAATCTTGGAAAAAAAAAAAATGAAGTATCTACTTGCAGCTTCTTATTACAGAAAAACTAAAATACATTTTGGATATGTTAGTGCTACATTGGAAAATTAAAGACATATGCTTCTAAAAATTATAAAATGTATTTATAAATTTGCCAATCTAAAGAATGCTGGTATAACAGATAGTTCCCATTTGCTTAACACTACTAGAAATAATGAAGGAAATATCTGCATATGGAAGGGAAGTAAAATATGTTTTTGATTTTAAAAAAAAAGTATGAGGAATGGAGATACATTCTTTTGAGGAAAAAACAGTTGTAGAAAGTTTGTGAAAAAGGAATCTCTGGCAAGGAATTGTGTATGTGGTCAGGACTGACTGAAGATTGGAACGAATAAGTTTTCATATCAAAACTAAGGTGGTGAAAAATTAGAATTTGGTTTTCTCTGTTCTAAGAGGACGAAGATTGTGTGTTTGGACTTTTCTCATTGGCGTAAGTCTTTTTGACCTAGAACATACCAAAGAATTTGCTAAACTATTTAAGCTTATGTGATATGTTAAATTACATCAGAAGCATTGTCAAATAAAAAGTAATACTAAGCCTTCTTTATGTTGTAAGATTTTGGCACATGTGCATAAAGTCCATTCTGCTTCTGGAAAAAAAAGAGGCCCCTCATTGCCAGACTTTTGCCATCCTGATGTCCTATAACATGGCAACAGTCTGCTGCTGAATCAGAGAAATTAAGGTGGGTAAATACTGGCTGTCAATTAAATGAATAGCTGGGGCTATGGGAAAACTAAGATGGCTGCTTAGTTCTTCCCAGCTGGCAAACCCTATTTTTCAGTTTTTACATTCTTTCACTCACCATAGGGCTTTCAAGATGACCCAAAATTATGAATAGACATCGGTGGGGAGACTTCTATAATATTGTAAAAATAATCTGCCAGCAATTTCTGACTTGTCAGGTCATCCTGGAAAAAGTAATTTTGTTCCCAGAGCCTCAGACCTACCCCTCTTGACCGTTTGAAAACCTGCAGCGGGACTTCATTCAACTGCTACTTACTACGGATTACCAATATGTTCTTGTTTTACTTGCATGTTTTGTGGATGGGTTGAAGCCTTTCCCTGCTGCAAGGCTGTGATGCCCTCCCAGTAGCAAGGAAACTATTAGAAAACATGTTTCCCATTTGGGGCATACCTTCCACAATCTCCAGTGATCAAGGCACTCACTTCACTGGGCAAATCATATGAGCCTAATGAAAACCTTGCAAAACTTCTTGGAATTCTATCAGGAGCTTGTATACTGAGCCTGGAGAACTAGGGATTCTGGAAACATTATCAGAGGAAAATGGCCCTCGAGCCCCCTTGGAAGAGGAATCTTACCAAGTGCTCCTGATCATGGATACCAATGCAAAACTAGAAGGGATGGAGCCTTGGGTACACATTTCACAGCTTGTGAAGGCTCCGCCTCCAACCAGGTCCTCTACAGACACTGGAGACCTCCAAATCAAATTGATGAGGAAGAGAAGTAGCTCAGTCGGGGTGGAATGCTTCTGCCTCAGATGATGGATCCAGACTTTAAATTTTAACTAAACTCAAAACCCTTTCTCCTTCTTCTTTTTTATTCTGGCATTAGCCTGGAAAGTTAATGCCGTCATCTGTTTGTCCCCTGGCCACTGCTTAAGTGGGGTAGTCTTTGGAATTTAGAACAACCTTTTAGTTCAGGCTAGGAGAAAATCTTAACTTTTCATAAGCAAAATAAGACATCTCTTTGCGTGACTCCCCTGAAGTTACATTGTTGAGTTAGAAAGGACCTGCCAGGAGGTTTTCATGATTCAGGAATTCACTCCTCTTGGAAGGTCCCTACTTCCCTGGTTAGGGATAAATGTAAATGAGCCTATGATCGGGAACTTCTCAATTCTTGAAATTACTGCAGAATCTGCTGCTAAAGCAACAGAGGCCCAACAACCATCCTTAGACTCTTTAGCCAAAGCTGTTCGTGATAGTAGGACAGCCCTCGATTATCTTGTAGGCGAGCAAGGGGGTACCTCTCCTGTGGTCAACACCACCTGCTGTATCTGGACTAACCCTTCTGGGGATTTTGAAACTTAATTACGTAAGAACACTGAGTAAGCTGCTTGGCTTAAAAGAGTAACTTCTTCAGTGGGGTCTTTCTTTGATTTATTTGATTTTAATTGTTTTGGGTCTTGGGAACCATGGCTCTGAATACACTCCAAATACTGGGAATTATCCTGCTTATAGTTATCATAATAATATCCCTGGTACATTGTATTCTCTCAAAAGCTTTAAATGCATGTTCACTGCCAAGCATCAAGCAAATGATCTCCCTAAGACGGGAACGTCAGAAAAGGAATGAAGAGGACAACCGACTTAAAAATTGTGAATCTGAAGTTGGAACCTGTGAATATCACAGAAATTAAGCAAAAAACCATCATGACCTGTGAATACCGCACAGAGAATCAGTAACAGCTGTGAGAACTCTGGAGCGGTGGTAGAGAATGATGGTAGAGAATGCTTTAAATTTTGATCGCATCTCTCAGTTAAACTGAGAGTCTGATCAAAAGGGAGGAAATTGTTAAAAAGAAAACCACAGACCTAAAATGATGGCTCCAAGCCAGTAAAACCAAGGCTTAATAGCTAACCTACCTGTAGTTTCAACTCCCCAGAAATGTAACCCTTAGCCAGTCAACGTGGGAATTTCTGGGTCAGCATTAGGAAATTTAATGATAGACCCCTTCTCTCCCCCTTAGGAGGGCGACCTTGCCTAAAACAATGGATTCTTTGCTAATAGTGTCCTTTTTTCTCTGCTCTTTTTTTTCTTTTAAAGACTTGCTTTTTCTTTAGCTCTTTGGAGCTCACCTCTGCTAGGATGGATGCTGCCCGATTCATGCATCAATTAATAAAGCCAATTAGATCATTAAAATTTAGCCTGTTGAACATTGTTACTTAACAATTTACATTTAATTATTTTAACAAAATGTCATAGTTTTTCTTTTAACAAAAATGTATGGTTGGGAATGTGTAGTTTTGACCTCTATTTATTTATATTAAGCACACACCTATCACTCTTATTAAAAGAGAAATATGTGAGGTCAATTATTTTGACTAATGAATGAAATCACTTTTAAGTTGAAAAATCTTGTTTTTTCCTGCACAGTTTTTGTTCTGACCTTTATTTCTTAGATTTTTCCTGTGATACTTAAAGTCGTAAAGTAGGTTGCCTACTAAAAATTCCTGAGGCACATTAATTACCACACAATGTTAGTCCTTGAGACACTTCTAGCTTATTGTTGCTCTTTGTTTTTTCCAGGGCTTTTTTTTTTTAAGGAAAAGGAAAAAAGAAAACAAAATGTTGACCCATGAGAATACAATATAGGAGACAGTGGCAGACAGTGAAATGGGCCACTGCTAAGCCCAGCCGTCTTATATTTGAACATTTTTGGCAGGTCGCTGATCAGCAATCAGCCATGTTTGGAGAGTGCTGCTTCCACATAGGAGACGTGAAACTAACCATGGGAACTGGGACATTTTTGGATATTAATACTGGAAATAGCCTTCAGCATACTATTGGAGGTAAATAGTTAGAATTTATCCTTTTTATTGATAAAATATCACTTCTTTTCATATTTAACTTTTGTGACACTGTTTTCCCATTTTATACTAAGGGTACTCTCTAACATATTTTTCACCATTACTCTTAGAGACAGTTAATTTCCATTTCCCTTTTTTCTTTAAAAGCATAAAAAATGAGACATATTATTATAGAAAAACTCAGGTTTAGGTTATTTTGGTCAGTTTACCAAATATTTACCTGTAATACCTGTTATATTGTTTAAAACATCTTTCTAGGCCTCTAAATTTTCTCTTAAGTGTTAGCAGTTCTTCTTTGTGTGTGTGTGTGTGTGTGTTTGAGGGGGGGTGGTAATTCTCAACTAGTGATCCATGCATATTTAATGACAGTTGCCAAGAAATTGGTCTCCCTGATGGAAGACATCCTAGGATGTGTAAACCAAGAAATTTAGATTGTGGAACTACACCCTAAGAGGCCTGTGGGCTCTTAATCTGGGCTATGGTCTCCTAACATGGTTACTAAGAGGCAGATTTTAAAATCTTTTTCTTATCTTCCATTCCCCCCTCAAGCTCTTCCTTTTCCCCTAACTGGGAAAATGGAACCTAGAAAATTTCATCATTGCGTTAGGTTATTTCTAATTAGGAACCTTCACAGGTAAATAAAATAGCGTAGTTGGCTCTGTTTGTGTGTTTCTAGAGACATAGATATGCCTGTGGCTACTAAAAGCTAGTGTTTATTGTTCATATTAAATGCCAGGCACTGCACTAAGTTTTTTATGCATTAATTCAGTTTATTCTCACAAGAGCTCTCTGAGGCAGACCATTTTACAGTTGAGGAGACTGAGGCTAAGAGGTTAGAAACTTGTGAGACCACTGACTTCAGAGCCACTTTGCTATTTTTTAAGATAATCAAATTGTTAACCAAATGTAGATGTCTCTGCAATGAATTATCTATTGATTACGTTTGATTTATATCGTTTCTTTGTTTTTAAGGCTTTTATCCACTAATTGGGTGGAAGATTGGCCAAGAAGTTGTATGCTTAGCTGAAAGCAATGCAGGAGACACTGGTACTATCATCAAATGGGCTCAAGAATTAGGTAAGTTATCTTTCAAACAGATTTCACAGGCCAGCCTTAAAGAATTCAAGAGTGCCCATAGGACTACCGATGAGTAGGGAATGAATAGATCATTCAAATGAGACATAAAAAGAACTATGCTAGAAGAAAATATAGGATACTATTTTTTTGACACTGGGATGGTAAAAGCCTAGGAATTAAGGCCAGATACCATAAAGAAAAAAACAAAACAATAAACTTAAGTATATAATTATTAGAATGTGTAAGGAGAGAAGTGTCATAAGCAAAGTTAAAAGACAAATTGGTAACAACAATTTGTAACATAGGTCAGAAAAATTAAGATGACTAAAGAATAAACAAAGGACAGAAGTACAGCTATCATAAATCAAATGACTATTAAAAGTGCTCTTCGGGGCACCTGGCTACTTAGTTGGAAGAGCATGTGACTCTTGATCTCAGGGTCGTTAGTTCAAGCCCCATGTTGGGTGTAGAGATTACTAAAAAAAATAAATAAACTTAAAAAAAATGCTCTTCAGGGGTGCCTGGGTGGCTCAGTTGGTTAAGCAACTGCCTTCAGCTCAGGTCGTGATCCCAGGGTCCTGGGATCAAGTTCCACATCGGGCTCCCTGCTCTGCGGGAAGCCTGCTTCTCCCTCTCCCACTCCCCCTGCTTGTGTTCCCTCTCTCGCTGTGTCTCTCTCTGT